GTGTGTGTGTGTGTGTGTGTGTGTGTGTGTGTGTGTGTGTGTGTGTGCAGGCCTGTGTGTGTGTCTATTTAGGATTCCTTTTTACGCAGCTCCCCAGCACTGGAGTCAGAAACACAAATGTCACTGAAGATTCCTCCCTGCTCCATATTCATCCCTCATGTTCAATCCGACCCAAGCCCCCTTTTTCTCACACTGATACTTCCTCTTCTTTCAGCTCTGTTCCCGCCTGACCTCACTTCCTGTCTGGATGTTTTCAGTGTCCTTTTAGGTGCTCTTTCCAACAGTCTGACCCCCACCCCTCTGCTTTCCCCTCTGCTGTCAGAGGGCCTTTCCACAACTTTGGATGAACTTGACTTTGCCCATCACGGCACATCCACTGGTTATTTGTCTGAGATACCTTGTCATTTCTGGCACTGACCTGTAGTATCCAAAGGATGAACTTGGTCCTTTAGAAGGGAAAATATTTGAAAAACCAGATTGTTTTCTTAAGACCAAACTGAGGTCCAATCTGCTCTGAGTGGAGTTTGGCTCTTTCCCAATATCTGATACTTGTCTTTAATAGGAAGAAAGCAATCTACTATTGGGAACAGTTTAGAACTAACTACCTGTAATGTTGGACAAATGCTTTCGAGAGCTGAGGGCAGTCTGTGTGGATGAGAAGGACCCATTTTGTCCCCATCTCCCAAGTTAAAGCATGCATCCATCTGGATTTTGAATGTGTTTTGTAATTGGGCTAAAAGTATTTTCAATGAGAAATGTCTCACTTCTGAATCCATGGCCATCATAATGCAATACCAGATACTTGGTACTGTTTCCAGCAACCTATAACTGTGAGTTGGGAATGCTTAACTTAGCAAAAACAAAAGGTAAGGAAAGAAACTGCTGGAGTACAGAGTAAAGAAACCAGAACAAAGAGGACAGATACCTTGGGAAGAGACTGAAAATGATGTCCTCTTGCAAATGCATGAAATGATTAGTGATATTTAAAATAATGTTCTATCTGGTAGGAATGTGCAAGCCTTATTTGGATCCTGATTCAAACAAAAAGAAATTAAAACATTTTTGAAACAATTGGAAATTTGATATTTGATGATTTTTAGGAACTCTTATGAATACTTTTAGTTGTGATAATGGTCTTGTCATGTTAAAAGAAAGGGTTCATATCTTTTAGAAACACATACGGAAATATTTATGGATGGAATGATGTGTTATCTGGGATTTGCTTCAGGATAATATGGGAAAGAGGAAGTTGGTGTGAGTAGTGCTGAAACAAGATTGGCCAGTAACTGTTGAAGCTGAGTGATGGGTACACAGAGGTTCATTACACTATTCTACTTTCATAGGTGTTTGAATTTCTTCATAATAAAAAGGTTTTTTTTAGAGTATGATGTTTTTATTACTAAAAATTGTGATGAATTTTTACCTAAAATTGGTGGTCTGCATGAGCGTAAAGGGGTTTATGGAAGCTGAAAGTTTGAGAAATGCTGCTGAATGGTACATGGTCTTAAGTAGAGGGAATACCCAATTCCCAAAGCATTTCACAAAGAATAGGTTGGAAGAAAAGAACAACACGTCAGGTGAAGTTGTCCTCAAGACATTGGTTAATAGAGGTCTTCGTTGTGAGTTCCATTGTCCTGGAGGCTATAAGAGTATTTCCCATGTAGGGGTAGGCGTGGGAGTAGAGAGACTAAAGACATCAGCTTCTAGTTCCTTCTGAGGAATAAATAAAACGTACTAGAGTGGGTTTGGGATGCATTAAAATGACTGTGGTTTGAGAAAATACCTGTTGATCTACTTCCTGATAGAATCTGCAATGTTTATACATCTATACAGAGAAGAAAATTAGATCTTCAAAGAACTAAGCACCTGGACAAGCTGTTTTAGTTGAAGGAAGTGCTTTCGCAGAATTTTAACTACATTTATGCTTCTGTGCCTATATTTAGGAATTGTATTGAAAGAAGTGAGGAGACACAGTCCTACAGAAATCCCTGTTGCATCTGTTGCAGAAATAGCCCTGAGGGCCCCCCACTGCCCTGCAAGGTTAGCCTCCTAGCTTGGCACCCAGACATGGAGCCTGATAGCCTAGGTTTGAATCTCATTTCTACAACTGACTAACTCTCTGGTCTTGGGCAAACTACTAACTTACTCTCAAATTCTCAGTTTCCTTATCTGTAAAATGAGTGTCATAATAGTATCCACCTGACATGATTGCCAGGATCAAATGAGAAAATGTCAGAAGAGCCTTTAACTCAGTCCCTGGCCCACATGCAAACTGTGAACTGTGATTCCTCACCTCTCCCTGGTCTCTACATTAAAAAGGCAGATCTTTTTCTGACTTGCCGATATGCACCTTCTGCCTGATTATTCTGGCTCTTTTCTTTGGCTTCTAGCACTCTTAGGCCCAAATTTGCAGCCCACTTGTAGTAACTGAACAGCATCGTCTGACAGACATTCCCGTGTGCTCATCGTATTGCTGCTCTATCAGCTGTTTTCCTTGTCTTCTTCCTTACTTATCGTGGTCATTTAGTCCATCCTTTATTCTGTGTATTTTTCTAAGCTGTCTCAACTTTTTTATGGAGCAAGGGAAGGGGTAAATTACTAGCTAAGTAAATAAGTGATCCATGGCTGAGGCCAGGGGAAGAGAGGAGTCGCGGCGGGGTTGGGGAGGACTCTGATGAACGAGCTCCTCCAGATGGGGAGGGGGCGATAGAAACCACTCACTGGACCTCTTCCAAACCATTCTTGCTTTATGCCTTCCTTGGTATCCACCATGTCTGCTACCACTTTTTGTTGTAATAATGGGCCGGGAAACCCTCAAGAACAAAAGTAGGCCAAGTTGCCTACTTGTTTTGGTGACAGGATTCGGTGGGAAAATGGGGGCATCTCTCTTCCCACTACAAACACGGAGCCCCTGGATTCAACCTGGTTTTCTTCCATGACTCCGTGGCCTCTGTCCACGGGTGCTTGTGTTCCAACTGCAGACAAAGGCTTTCCCGGGAAGGGGCAGCGTTTTCCTGGCCAACAGGATGCTGAGTGCTGACAGGCGCACAGTACGCACCAAACACGCCGCTCTCCTCTGCTGGGGTCAGGAAGATGAGTCACCTCCACCAGCCGCGGGGACTCAGAGCCTCAGATCTTCCCAGCAATGTCCTGGGCTTTTGCAATGTGGAATACTGCAAGGGCTTTTTTCAGGGATCCAGCTGAGGCCTCGGTGACCGATTTCTCCCCTACTAACAACTGGGGAGGAAACTGCTAACTAGAGATAAAGATAAGAGAGTTTCTGGTCTTTTCAGTACCAGACCTTGAAAGTGAGGTGTCCCCGAAGCACACACTAGCACAATTCCCCCAAACTCCATGCTTGCCTGCCTGGAAGGTTTTGTTAAAGAAACAATACCCTAAGTGTGCCCACTCATTACCATTCTCTCTGAAATTCGACGCCGCTATTTCTTTGCTTATGGAGTGGCGGAGGGCCAACCTGTGGCTCAGCCTCAGAGGCACACAGGCTACAGGGGCAGAAGGCAAGGCAGAACTCCAGGGAGGGAAGGCGTCAGTGGGTCTGGGGGCAAAGGCAGCCCTCGCGGTAGCACTGCCTGGCCAGGGCCCTCCGCAGAGAACACTGTGGGCGCTCTCTCAGAAAGCTGATGTCCTAGGTCTACAGTGAGGTTCATCTTTTAATTTGTAAGAAGCCTTTTTATTTACCTTTTTTTTCTTCTTTAACCTTTTTTCTCTAATTTAGTGAATAGGGAAAAAAAAATCCAGTATACAAAAAGTCAGATATAGACACGAAAAAGCACATATGGTATATTGCTAAGTGAATTTTAAAAATCACAAAACCATAGGCAAACCCCATTTTTTGTAGTGACAAAAGAAATCAGTGAGAAGGAGTGTGAAATGATTCATGCCAGGGAGTTAACAGTTGCCTCCTTTGGAGAAGGGTGTGGATTTAGGGAAGGAGTGATGAAGGAGGGGAAGTTTTTACCCTGAAATTTTGGAATTTTTGGAAAGAACATATAGTAATTTTAAAAGAGCAAAAAGCTCAATTTAGGAGCTCTGGGTTGGGAGTATTTCCCGCAGGCAGAGCTCAGGCTCGTCCTTGAGGGTGGACGCTCCTCCCCATGTTGCCTCGGTCCATGAGGGAAGTCCCCACCTCCCCACCCCACCCATCAGCATGCGGGACCCTCTCTGCCCCGCTCCAAGTCAGGAATGCTGGCTCCTCCTGACAGCGCAATGACTGCACTTAACGGAATGCAAACGGTATTTCCATTTAATGCTCACGTCGCTCCTGTGAGGCGGGTAGAGCGGCACGTCCACTTTACGCCCACGGAACCTGAAGTCCAAGAGGAGAAACGGCATGGCTACCAGCAGGCAGCGAGGGCAGTGAGCCAGGCCCCTCCATCCAGGCCCAGGGCTCCTTTCAGCCCCTGCTTCCTCTGGCAGAAGGCTGGCCTGGAGCTACCTGAGGAGGGTGAGAAGGAGCACAGGGTCTCTGCCTGGATGTACCACGAGAACGCCGAAATGACCATGCCAGGACTGTTCCGTGGCGGTTAACTCTGTGTGCAACCTGGTGGCCACAGTGCCCAGATATCTAGTCAAACAGCAGTCTAGAAGTCACTGTGAGAGTATTTTTTAGATGAGATTAACATTTAAACCAGTGAACTTTGAGTAAACACTTTACTCTCCATAATATGGGTGGGACTCATCCAGTCAGTTGAAGGCCTTCAGAGAAAAAGATGGAGGGCCCTGGAAGAGAAATTCTGCCTTCAGGCTGCCTTTGGACTCCAGCTGCAACCTCAGCTCTTCCCTGGATCTCCAGCCTGCTGGCCTGCCCTTCACACTGCAATCTTGCCAGCCCCACAATCACGTGAGCCAATTCCCTAAAATGAATCTCTCTCTTTCTACATCTACATGTATACACACATCCAACTGGTTCTGTGTCTCTGGAGAACCCTGAGCAATATACTTTCTCTAAAGGAGAAGACTGGGTGGACACATTTCTTCTAAACCACCTTTCACTGCCATCACCACGCCCAGCAGTGAGGCTTGCGCGACTTACACGCTTCACAAGTAATTGAGTGAGAACCAACAACTAGGCGGAAAATGCTTCATGGCTTTGCCAGATATGATATTTATTTAAACTACTGCTTTGTTCCCGTCTAAGTCATTGGATCTAATGGAAAAGAACAGAAACTGACTGGAGTAAATCAAGGGTGGGAGTGATGAGCGGTGAGGTACCTTCCATTTCTGAAGAGTCTGTGACCCAGGATCATTCCAGAAACTATAGCTTCTGTTTTGTCTTTTAAATCAGAGTAAACGGGGACTGGCGGGGCCAGAAGCAAAGCTCTAAGCCAGGCACTGCTTCCTCTCCCTCCCACCCCATGCACAGGTCCCTCTGTAAGGAAGGGCCCAACCCCATTCTGTCTACACACACCCTCACCATGGGCAAACACTTCCTGTTACCTATACACAATGCTGAGACCAGCATGAACTCATTTAGGTGCCTAGCAGTATCTGCATTTTACAAGAGCTGGGCCAAGAACTCAGAGAAACAGCTCCTAACTGGGGAGCATCACTGCTCCAAGTTTAACCATGAAGGAGACTGAGGCCCAGGGATATTGGGCTGTCTGCCCAGGGCTGCACAGGAGTCATGGTCCAAGCTGGTCATGAGGCTGCCGGGAAGGAGAAAGGTGTCTGGGAGGATGTGCCCTGGCTTCTCTGGAATCCTCATTCACCAAGCCTCACCACTTCTTGAGGAGCAGATCCTGATGAAGGGATGGAGACTTGGCATCCTGGTTTTACCGCAGAGCTATGTCCTGGATATGGAAGACTGCTTCTTAATTCCCATTTAAATTTCTGGCCTAATGTCTCCTTTCAAATAAGTTGTGTCCAACACAACATTTCATTTCCCACAACGTGGCGAGCTCGTTCCTTGTCTGCTACAGCTTGGAGAGTTCCCTTATCCCTCAGCACTCAGCTTAGCAGTTACCTCCTCCAGAAAGCTTCCCTGTCCCTTCCCTGTCACACACACACACACACACCCGCTAGCTCTGGTGGTCCACAGGCTCCATGCTAGATGCCTTGCATGGTCGCCAGGCTGAGCCCCTTAAGGGCAGGGAGCCTGGCACTGAGAGCATCTGGCACATGGTAGAGCTTGGTAAACATTTGATGACTAAACCACGGAGAGAGTAGAAGTGAGTACACTAGGGAATATTTCCTCTTTTAGGGAAAAATGACTAGAAATTACTAATCATCTTGCGTGATACATAATGGGCATTCAATGCTTAGAGAATAATTCTTAAAAGTAAGAGGGTTGTGCTCAGAATAAATACCCCCTGACTTAAGTTATGCTGTGGGGATACTAGGCAGTCTCACTGTAATTTCTGGGTAAAAATGTCAATGGCCATGAGGAGAATGTTTTCAATTTTAAGTTTTCCTTCCATACCTTTTCCAAAACCACCATAATGTCTTGTTGCTTATCTAGAATCAAGTAATTAGCACAAAATTTAGCCCCAAATTATGTATTAGAGGTATTTTAAACTTGAAATTGAATATGACAGGATTCCAGAGGCCTGCCAATTATCTAGGATAAGTAAGATCCACCTGGTGTCAAACTTTCCAGTTAATTCAACAAATTCAAAATCACTTGGTTTAGACATTAGGCAACATTGTGTTTGTTCCCTTTCATTCATTCATCCATTCATGTGGGGAATGGAAGCCTTCTGCCATAGGAGGGTTAGTAAGGTGCTCTAGGGGATAAGACATCAACAAGCAAGAAGGTGGAGGTCAGAAGTCCACCAGTGGGTGGATGGGCGTGCACGGGCTAAACCTAAAAACATAGCTTAGACTTTTGATCAAATGGTGTTATAACCATCAAGGAAACCTAAGTTAAAAAATATACAAATAATGCTGTGATTAGGAGTAGGGCCCAGTAGGGATGAGATAGGCTAGATCTTGATGAGAAGGATGCTGAAAAGGAAAGGGAAGAACTTAACGTATGGAAAATTTTCTTTGGCTAATAGCTGCCATTCCATACAGGCGACAAAAATAAATCTGTAGCATTCTTGACGAATAAAGGGACAAGCAACGAGATGGGCTGCACAGGGGCTGGCCCCCAGGCCAAGCTGGAGGAAAGGCAGCCTGGGGCCTGGGGCAATGACTCAGGCAGGAGGAATGTGGCTCAGGCCGCCTGCAGCTGTGATAAGGAGGACAGGATGGGGCACAGCAGAGGACATCCTGGAGCAGCCCAGCGACTTTCCACATAGGAGCTCATGTAGAAACCCCGGGCCTGAAAGAATTCCAGCCCCCATGCCAGGCGGAGTCCTGGAATGCGAACAAGGGGAAACGAGTAGAGATGTAACCTCCATCCCCAAGGCCTGGTGGAGAGAGGGAGCGGAGCACAGCTGAGGTCCAGTGTGCTGTGCAGACAGCCTCGTTCCAGACCCAGCTGGCTCCTGCCTTCCAGCCTTGCAGCCCTGAGCCGTGCTGAACACTTTCCAGCCTAGCCTGGGACGTCCCCATGCTCTGCGCCTTCTAACACTTGGATTCAAACCTCAGGCGTGTTTCTCCTACCAGCTGGTTTTGTGCCATATCTGTATAATGCTTGTGCCTTAATTTACTTACGATGCTCCCTTTAGGGGGCTTACATTTTATACATAGCCTCTGCCCGCTAAGCAAATATCCTTGTTCATAAATTACTCTCACCTGAACCCCCATACCCCTTCCCCCCCCAGACACAGAGGGTCCCTGGGCTTCCTTGCAGCACTGTCAAAACCCTTCCTGAGCATCGAAGGGCATCCACTCCCCAGGCCCCCGATGGGACCAGGCACAGGGCACGCTTTCCCGCTTTGGAAGCAATCTCATTACTAGGCAGTGTAAACCACCGGGATTTCCCAAGAGGAACAGGTCCCTGCTTCGTCAGGTTTCTGTGCTCTGGAGCTCAGGCCCCTCCCCCTACAACCTCTCCTACACACGCTTGGGGGCTGGGGTTCTGGCCCATCCTTCAGCGAGCTCCCTGCTTCCCCAGTAAAGTAAAAGATCATCCTATTAACATCCTGGTGGTAAGTCATGTTGCTTGCATGTACCTTGATAGGATGTGATGAGAATTACACTTCACCTCTGTGGTCTTCCTTCCAAAACCCAACAGGCCCACTCTAATTATGAGAAAAACCTCAGACAAATCCCACCTGAACAACACTCTACAAAATAACTTACCAGTACTCCTCGAAACTGTCAAGGTCATCAAAAACAAGGAAAGTCTGAGAAATCATCATAATCAGGAGGAACTTAAGGAGACATAATGATGAAATGTAATGTGATGTCCTAAATGGGATCCTGCAGCAGAAAATGACATCAAGCAAAAACTAAGGAAACCTGAAATAAGGTATGGAGTTTAGTTAATAACAATGTATCAATATTGGTTCATTAATTCTAGCAAATGTATATAAATGTAACATAAAAAGTTAATTATCAGGGAAACTGGGTGTGGGCTATGTGGGAACTCTGTACTATCTTTGCACCTTTTCTGTAAATCTAAAACTGTTCTAAGAGAAAAAGTTGGCTTTAAAAAAAAACGGCTTTTTTTGAAAAGTCATTCTACAACCCCCGATAGAGCAGCAACTGCTGAATCCCATATCACTGAAGAAAATCTTACTTGTGGATCCTAAATGCTGCCTTTCAAACTATAGACATGATAAAGTATCATTAGTTACCAAGTGAAAACTCACCCACTTTAACCTTCTTTACTGCTATTTTAAATATCTATTATATATTCAAGATATAATAATTAAGAACCACTATTACTATGTCCTTTAAAAATTCTGGTTTGGGGACTTCCCTGCTGGCACAGAGGTTAAGAATCTGCCTGCCAAGGCAGGGGACACGGGTTTGAGCCCCAGTCCGGGAAGATCCCACATGCCGCGGAGCAACTAAGCCCGTGTGCCACAACTACTGAGCCTGTGCTCTAGAGCCTGTGAGCCACAACTACTGAGCCTGCTCACCTAGAGCCCGTGCTTTGCAATAAGAGAAGCCACCGCAATGAGAAGCCCACGCGCCACAACGAAGAGTAGCCCCCGCTTGCCGCAACTAGAGAAAACCCGCGCACAGCAACGAAGACCCAGTGCAGCCAAAAATAAATAAATAATTGATTTTTTTTTTTTTAAATTCTGGTTTGACTTATTTCTGATTCAGAAAGTAATATGTTACATGGTATGACTTGAAAAGAAGACATTGTTGCCAAAATTATTTCTCCCATAAGAAATAGTATTATTTGCAAACTTCCCATAAAAGCATTTTTGCTGACTCCACCACATTCTACCTTGTAGGAATTGTGATAACGAAGCAGTAATTTCCGGTAGTAGTGAGGTGCCATACACCCCAAGCAAGAAGATTCCATATATTATTGTGCGTATGTGAAGTCTGGTCCATTCTTTCTTGGAGTAATTTGTGAAGTTATAAATACTTGTTACTCTGATTTCATCCCTCATTTATTTCTTGTGCTGTTGTTGTTTTATGGGGAATGGGAGGATTTGAGAAGGGGAGAGATGTTATCCGGGGGAAATTTGGGGAGAAGCTTTTCTTGTTCTCGGAAGAAATATCTCAAACATAATGCTAGTGCCTTGGCTTGCCTATGTGTGGCACAGAGCACATTATGACACCATCATGGAATCAACTTATGGCAGACTCGGTTGAATGGAAAATCAACGGGCTGGCAAGTGCCTTTGAAAGACTGAAATACGCACCATGAACCCTGTCACGCAGTCCTGCCCCGCCGCTAAAATCCGAACACCTCCCTGTTTTGTTTTACCTGCCATCTAGTCTTTTGGGCTTCCTCACACCCCAGTCCTGGCACCCATTTTCCCCCCTTTGTCAGCTGCTCCCTGGTTTCATACCCTTCCACTCTGTGTGAGTTGGGACAGAAAACTTGGCCCAAAAGGGTTAGGGCAGGGGCTGCTGGCACAACTTCCACTGAGTCCCCTACGTGCCCAGTCCTCTGTCAAGTGATCCTCCCCGTCTGTTTCGTTTTGTTAGCAAGGGCTTTGGCATTTCAAAACGAATCAACGATTAGAAGGCTCACAATACAATCAGCCAATCAAAAAGCTGCAGAGCAACTGAGTGACTTCAACATCTTAAAGCTCGTTTCTGAGCACTGCCCACACCCAGAGCCTGCTGAGTTGGTCTCTTTAAGCAGTTTGCTCACTTCCCTTCCACTGGTAACTGGTACTCAAAGGATCCCCAGTTTAAACAAAATCTGACTGGTCTGCTCATACTTGGAGGTCCTAGCGCTGCTTACTTTCATGAAACAAAACCTTCAGTTGCCCAGAGCCTTCGGCGATTCCACGTTGGCTACTCACAGGGCACAAGCTCATGTTGAGACAGGCACATTGTCTGGTTGGTTCCATCACCATTCTGTAAATTCTGCCAAATGTTGTTTGCACACAGATTCACCCCCATGCTGACGAAGGAGAGTTAGTGACTGAGACTATGTCTACCATGTCCCAGGGCCAGGCCTGACAAGGAGGTGAGAAGTCTGGATTTGGAGGCCGAGGATCTGGGTTTGCACTCCACACCTCTGCTTACTAGATAGGTAAAGGATAGGTTAACGGGAATGCTCAGAAATCTTAATGTGCTCATCTGAAAATGAAGGTAATAATCCCTGTGTGTTGTGGAGCTTATGTGAAATTTCATGTCAATGTGCTTTGCGAGGTGCTACAGATAAGAAGTGCTTTAGTATTCACGGTATAAAGTTTACAGAGATGCTTCCGAGCAGGCTGAGGTAATATGCAGGCAGTTTCAGAACTGTCAATTTCATTACGAGGTTAAAAATGTGACTCTTAAGGCCTTCCGTGCCACTTGGCTACCAATTGAATAGTAAAAAGGAAGTTGAGAAAACCATGGCCGATTGGTATTTGCAGAAATGTTAGTAGAGGTGTAGGCTTTGTTGTTAGACAAAAAAGCTCTTGAATTGGTCAGGGCCAAATGCAACCTTCACAACCTGTCAATCTATCAATCTAAGCGAGAGAAAAGATGGGTAGGACTTGATAAGGACTTTGCAAAGCTCCAAGCCTTTGAAGCAGGTGAGTGGGAAGCCAGCAACAGTGCTGAGGCCCTCTGCCGCTAATCAGGCTGTGATCGTCATCAGTGCTGTTCAGCCTTTTCATTCTCTGAATGGTATCTTTTGATGAACTGAATTTTAATTTTGCTGCCCTTTTATTGATCACTGTATTTCTTGTACAGTTAATGGGTTTTTTTTGTGTGTTCTAAGCAATCATTGCCTACCTCAAGGTCATGAGGATATTCTCCCATGCTCTCTGCTAAAAGCATTTTGGTTCCCTTTTCTATTTCAGTTTGTTATTCATCTTGAATTAATTATTTTGAGTATGATGTCAGGGTTTAGATAAATGTATTATGACATGCATCCATCATTATGGTATCATACAGAGTATCTTCATGCCCTAAAAATCCTCTGTGCTCTGCCTATTCATCTCTCCCCTCCCCCCAACCCCTGGCAACTACTGGTCTTTTTACTGTCTCCATAGTTTTGCCTCTTCTGGAATGTCATACAGTTGGACTCATACACATGAGGTAGCCTTTCCAGACTGGCTTCTTTCACTTACTAATATGCATTTAATTTTCCTCCATGTCTTTGTATGGCTTACTAGCTCATATGACCTTAGCCCTGAATAATATTCCATTGCCTGAATGTGCCACAGTTTATCTTCTTACCTACTGAAGGTCATCTTGGTTGCTTCCAAGTCTAGGCAATTATGGACAGAGCTGCTGTTATCATCCATACGCAGGTTTTTGTGTAGACGTAAGTTTTCAACTCCTTTGGGTAAATACCAAGGAGCGTGGTTTCTGGATCATATAGTAAGAGTATGCTTAGTTTTGTAAGAAATTGTCAAACTGTCTTCGGGAGTGGCCGTACCATTCTGCATTCTCCCCCGTGAATGAGAGTTCCTATTGTTCCTCATCCTTGTCAGCTTTTGGTGTTGTCAGTGCTCTGGATTTGGGCCATTCTAATAGGTGTATTGTGACAGTATTCACTTTTTAGTGTATAGTCCTATGTTGCATAGAATTTTTTTGACATATAATTTACATAGAGTAAAAACCTTTTTAATGTGTACAAATCAGTTGTTGTGCAACCATCACCACTATCTAATTTTAGAGCATTTTCATCATCCCCCAGAAGAAACCTGTGTCCATTAACAGTCTCCATTTCTACCTCTCCTGGCAACCACTGTGCTGCTTTCTGTCTCTACAGATTTACCTATTCTGGATATTGTATACAAATGGAATCATGTAATATGTGATTTTTGCATCTGGCTTCTTTCACTTAGCATGTTTTTGAGGTTCATCCATGTTGTCGCATGTATCAGTACTTCAATCCTTTTTATGGCTGATATATTCCATTGTGTGGATAAACCACATTTTATTTATCCATTCATCAGTTGGTGGACATTTGGGTTGTTTCACCTTATGGCTAGTGTGAATAGTGCTGCTATGAACACTCATGTACAAGTTTTTGTTAGAATAGTTTTCAGTTCTTTGGGGTATATATCTAGGAGTAGACTTGCTGCGTCATTTGGTAATTCTGTGTTTAACTTTTTCAGGTACCATCAAAATGTTTTCCACAGTGGCTGTACAATTTATATTCCTACCAGCAATGTATTTCCAATATTTCCAATATTTCCATATTCTCCCCAACACTTGTTTATTTTCTGGTCCTTTTTTGGTTTGCGTTGCTCTAATGACTAATGATGTTGAGCATCTTTTCATTGGCCATTTGTATATATTTGTTGGAAAATGTCTGTTCAAGTCCTTTGCCCATTTTTTAAATTAGGTTCTTGTCTTTTTGTTGTTGAGTTATAAAGTTCTTTAGATATTCTGATTGCTGGACCCTTATCAGATATATGAATTGCAAATATTTTCTCCCATTCTGTAGGTGGTCTTTTTACTTACTCTCTTGATAGTGTTCTTTGGTGCACAGAACTTATAAAATTTTGATGAAGTCCAATTTATCTATTTTTTGTTGTTGTTGTTGCCTGTGCTTTTGGTGTCATATCCAATAAATCACTGCCAAATCCAATATCATGAAACATTTCCTATATGTTTTCTTCTAAGAGTTTTATAGTTTTGGCTCTTACGTTTAGGTCTTTAATCCATTTTGAGTTAATTTTTGTATATGGTGTAAGGTAAAGGCCCAACTTCATTCCTTTGCATATGGATATACAGTTTTTCTATCACTAATTGTTAAAAAGCCTGTCCTTTCCACATTAAAGTGTCTTGACCCTTGTTGAAAATCAACTGACCATATATCTAAGGGTTTATTTCTG